TAAGCATAACCAATGGACATAAGACACTGGGGGGTAGGGGAGGCCAGGGGATTGTCAAGGGCGGGGAAAAAAAGGACACATATGTAATACCCTATGTAATACTTTAAGCAATAAAAAAATTAAAAAAAAATAAAAAATAAAGACCCAACACATTCAGTTTTCAGTGCAATCCTTGCCTTTCTTTGGCAGTGTTTTTGCATGGAATTAAGGATGGATTGCTTCCTGCAGCTCACACTGGCAGGGACTCTCAGGCCTGACTCAGCCCTGTGAGTGACCTACCAGGTATATCTGAGCCACTGTATTTACACTGATTTCTACAATTTTAAAATTGCCCTTCACTGGGAAAAGCTTACTCAAGTCTGCCTGGAAAACTATGTAGTGCTATTTTGTAATGACCAGAAGTATTTTTCTCTTTGGCCCCTCCATTGCCCTGCCCACTCCATTATTTACTGCATTGAAAAAAGCACTGGAGTGGGCTCCTGGGAGAAGGGGAAAGAGCTTTATCTGGTCTCTGTCAAACTGGACCAGAAGTAAGATCTTTACAAAGGGAAAGACAATAAAACAGATTGGTCCTCAGGACTCTATGATTTTATCATCTTACACTGGGAAATACTTGACTCAGAGATTTCACTTTAGCCTCTTGCAGCACCTAAGTATGAACTATACAGATTTTCCATTTCTGAAATTTTACTGCTTCTGATAAATTTAGTGGTGAATTCACTTTACCTTTTTCTGTATTTATGGTAAGTGTTGGGGTAACCTCTGCGGGCAGCAGTCCTGGGTCATCTTTGTCAAAGGATACTTGTGGTCAAAGCCATACCACATTTGGAAGAGCCCAACACTCTCTGCTTTTGTTGTGCTTTTATCCAAGTTACTTGCTTCCTGGGGACAGACAAATAGAAAAAGACATTGAATACATAATCAACATAAAATATTGATATATAATATCAACATTAATATATATAATTTCACTATAAAAATACATGTCTAAGCAAATGAAATATAACTACATTAAAAACACTTTCCAGGTTGAGGCATTTCCATCTAACAGTAAAGTCGCTGACATGCAAATGAGCTCTGAGACCTTGAGTGTGGATGAGGTATCTGGGTGCAAATCCAACATTTACTTTTCTTAATAATTACTATTTTATTAAACAGCTAAGAAATTCTACTTTTTGACATCAAATAAAAATGATATTTCTGTCAGATTGCTGTTGTGGGAATTTTGCAGTTCACTTCTGTCAAATTTGGATGGTATTTATTTATGAGTTACTGAAAGGTCAAGACTAAAGGGATGATACAGCCTAATAATTTTTGAACTAATTTTCTTTTTTTTCTTTTTGATATATCACTACCAAATTCTTCTTATGGTTGATTTGTTATCTCCCAGCTTTGAACTGGATATTCCTACAGGTATCTTGGAATCACTGAATGCTCTTGTCTTATTTCTTTTTTTCCCCCCAAAAGGCCGCAGTGAAAGGCAGGAAGGAAAGGAATTAAGGACAAAAGAGAAAACATTTGATGGGTGTATATGTGAGAGTAGAGGATGGAAATATGAGAAAAAGAGAAAAAGGTGAAACACTTTTGAACTTTAGAGATACTAGTAGGTGATAATGAACATGGCAGTGTGGTAAGGAGATTCCGTTTTACTTCTTTTTGTGTATTGCATTTTACATAGTAAGAGAATTCCAGGCTTCAATCAGTTATAATTATCTCTGTCATTAAAAGTACTTATATCTTAACATGCACTTTGTTGCTTTATTTGGGCCCACAGTTTCCATCCCCAAATTATTTCATGATTTCACAGTCCAGTCATAATAAGAACATTTAAAAAAAAATTTTGACCTATGGAAGACAATGGCAATTCACTGGCTGCTCCAAAGCCATTCCTAGATGAATCCAAGTTAATTTCCTTTCATTTTATTTTGTTTACTTTCTGCCGATTCTCAGAGAATTCCACTACTGGTTAGTGATAAGTAGCTGAACACAAAGGTCTGTGCTCTGCTTTCTGATACATGTGGGTCAGCAGATGCTACGGCTCTGTCCCTACATAGAAAACAGGATATGAAAAAGCAAAGTGTGGCTCACTTCTCCTTAGCCATTTATCCTTGGTCTAAAATGGTTGAAGCAGAGACCCACAATAAAATTAAGATATGATTTTAAACTTTGTACAGTTTCCCAAATAGTGTTCCCTACCAGCCACTGTTCTGCATGATGGTGATGGGGATTGTGCCAGTCATTCAGGAAAATACAGGGACAGATGTATTAAACAGGCTTCTTACCTACAGGACTTCTCAGCATCTTTCATTTATAAATGAACATTGTAAAACTTCGAGAGCGAGGTGTTTCTCAAAGTTGGCCATGGAACCCATTTCCCATCCCAACCCCCACTGTGAGACATCTCTAATCTTTCCATGGACATTAGAGTTCCACAGATCTGTTTTCTGATAGACCTGGAGGGCCATGCCTTATTATCTAGAGTTAGAGTTTATTCATTACTCAGCATGCTTCCCCAAAAAGGAAAGCAAATTGTCTGGCTCAATTTCCATCAGTCCCTGAACATTTCTCTAGCTATTTCTACCTCAACAAATGTGCCAGATTCACAACATCACTGCTGCACATAGTGTCTCATCATCTGGCATCATCTACAAGTTGTTTTAGTTGCCATCTCCCTAGCAGAGGCAGGCACAGATGCTCATCCTAAACTCGACTAGTTTTAAATGCTTTTGGCCAACAGTGGGAGTTCTCTCTCTTCTCTCTCTCTCTCTCTCTCTCTCTCTCCTCCCTCCCCCTTTCTTTTCTTTAAAAACAAAAAGGACTTTCAGGATTTTATCTATCAACTGGCACAAGTAATTTTAAAAAATATATATTTTTATTAATTTCAGAGAGGAAGGGAGAGGGAGAGATAGATAAAAACATCAATGATGAGAGAGAATCATTAATTGGCTGCCTCCTGCACGCCCCCTACTGGAGATTGAGCCAGGCATATGCCCTTAATCAGAACTGAACCCTGGACCCTTCAGTTCACAGGCCGACACTCTATTCACTAAGCCAAGCCAGCTAGGGCCACAGGTAATTTTTGATAGCTGATAATATCTACTGAAGATAAGATAGTTATTAAAGAAAACTGATAGAAAGGAGTATAAGCAAATTCCTGTTTTTTGTTTGGTTGTTTGTTTTTAAGTAGAGATGGACTGTGCAGGTTGAGTTTGGCTGGCAGTCAGGGCCCAGAGATCTGGCACCCAATCTGCAGCAGCCTAGCGCAATCATGATGGCAGCTATGACAGCCTCAGAGATTGAATGCTCCTTAATCCGTAGGCAGCATGCTAGTCACATTATCCAGTCATTAACTTTTCCAGTCATTACTTTTCATTTTCCACAGTGATCCATCAAGGTAGATTGTGTTATCCCTATTTTACAACTGAGGACCTAAAAAGCTCAGAAAAGGGAAGAGGTGAGCTCAAAGTCACACTTGCAAGTGACAGAACTGGAATTTGAAAGTAGGATTGCTGGGCTACAAAGATGGTATTCTTTCTGCTAGTACCTCATTCAGCCTTTAAACTCTGGAAAGCACAGCCACAGTATAATAGGCTACTTAGGCTACAGTGTTATTGTCTGTAAAATGAACAGAAAAAAATGGACTGGTTGGTCTCTGAGGTCCTAATCATATGAAAATACTATAATTTTATTAATGAAAACAATGAGAACAACGGCTAATACTTGTTGAACACATACCATGTGCCAGACATTATTCTAAGTGCTTTTCATATATTAACTCTTAATTCTTATAACAATTTAATGAAGTATGTTCTATTATTATTCTCAGTTTATAGAAGAGGCAACTGGGAGCACAGAGAGGTTTTGAAGCACACCTGTGGTCCCTCAGCAGCCAAGATTCTTCTCATCTAGATGGGGCCTACGGGGGGTAGGTGAGGAGCAAACTAAGCCAAAGAGGTATCTGAACAAAGAGCTAAGTTCAGAATCCTGGGTACTCATGGAGGCTGAGATGGAGCATTCTCCTCACAAGTAGATTAGTGCCTGGCATGGGTGTGTTGTATGTATACATCAATGAGTGGGTAGATGAATGAATGAATGAATGAATGAATGAATACCAGTTACAAGTAGAAATTAAGGAACCGGATTGTCAAAGTTCACATTCCACTCCTTTCCTTAGGAAAGTTATTTAACTTCTCTGTATACATGTTACTTTTGTGAATATACTTTATAAACTACAAAGAGTTATGCCACATCATTTTATCATCTCTTTCCAACTCCACTCCAATGCCTTTTACATCTAGAACTTATGATTTCAATATATTGTTCTATTAGCTCTCTCTTACTACATAACAAAGTATCCCAAAATTTATTGGCTTAAACGAAGTCTTTATCTTCACAGAGCTTACACTCTAATGGGGGACACTGATAATACAAAGGTAAACTACTACCTACAATAAGTTCAAAGAATGAGAATAATATAGCAGGTAAGAGGATAAGATAAGAACAGAGGAGAGGCTATTGGCTGGTCTAGGCAGGCCTCTCTGAGAAAGTGGCATTTGGTCAGAGGCCTGAACGATATGCAGAAGAGAGCTGTGTGGGATCTGGGAGAAAGCAGTCCCCACAGATGGTTCTGCAAGCATGAAGGCCATGAAGTCATAATGTGATGGAGTGCCTCCTGGGCAGCAAGAAGGCCAGTCTGGCTGGAACGAGTGAGTAAGGTGGAAGTGGATGGAGGTAAAGTGGGAGACACAGAGAGAGGCAAGATCATTGACCATGGTGGTGAGCTTGATTTTATTCTACATGTGATGGAAGATTTGAAACTTGGAAGTAATAAAACAACTGTTTTAAAACACTAATTTTTCTCCATTCTCCAATCTGCCGGTTGTTACAAAGAGATTAATTTTCATATTTTCTCACATAGTTTTTTAAAACTATGCTTGCTTCTCTACAGGCTGTCTTAATGCTAAGTTCCCAATTTTATTTTTGCTTCCAATAGTTCCTTCAGTGAAATTTTGTTTTGGTTGTCATTTATGCTTGAGTGTTGTTGGAGACCAGGTGTAAGCTGACACGGTCCTTGCACCTGAAGGGGCTAGCAAGGCTGGGACCCTTACCCACACAGTTTTCCCAGACTTGTTTGGATGGCGGTTATCAGTAGAATGAGAGCAACCTTTGTAGAATGAGAACAGCCTTTCATGGCTTACCAAGAAGTCTGTAACTATTTACTGAGATTTGCTGTACCAAGAATTTGTCCTTCTGCTCTATCTCTCCCTTAGAGATTAAGAGGAACAAAGAATACATTCCTCTTGACAGACCTCCTATTCAGTGTTTTGTGTATAAAAGGCATTGCGTGGTTAATAAACTTACTGCAGCTCCTCGATTGACCTGTAGTCCTCCCGATCCTGCTCTCCTGTCTTTCTTTCTTTTCTCAATTCCCACCTCCCTACCTCAGCCCAGTTCAACCTGTCAGGCTGGCCCTGACAGAGTGTAATGTAGGTGGATCAGTTCTGGTGATTGCAGCTCAAGGAAGTCACAGCAGAGCTAAGAAAGCTCCAGAGAAGGGCCACTTGAATAGCTGAGCAGGGAGAGATGGAAAGGATTAGGACTTCAGCAGAGACCAGAAGTCACAAGGCATACATCAAGGTGTCTATAAATATATGAAGGATGTGAGCAATGTGAATGAACACTTGTTTGCTAACTCCCAGAAAACCTTCACCTAGAATATCCTTAAAACTAGAAAGAGCTCATGTGGGGAAGAATAAAGTATTTGTCCTCTGCACAATTGAAACTTATTTTTCATAGTCATCTAGAATTGGAAGGACTGAGAATATAAGTAGGTTCACAAGTGGAAGAAATTAACTAGTTGATAATAGGGTCATCTAGTCTAC